TCTCTCCTCTTTGCATTTTTTGAGGTGGTTGGGTTTTTCGGTTCGTCGTAATCTGCCACCGTTGCCGGGATGTGGAATCCACGCGCTCTCTCTGCTCCCCTCGCGGTGCTTCTTCTTCTTCACTGTCTCCTTGCTACCGTCTCTGCTCAGAGATCTGCCTGGAAGACACTCAGCGGTATAACTTCTCTCTCTCATTCTTCTCTTACTTCGATCTTTGCTTCTCTTTCTCTTCACTTTCTATTTTCGCAACCGATATTAACGATAAATACACAGATAAAATTTTATCTGTTTTTTGAAAATGTCATCTTATTCTGCAACTTTGAGAATTACTCCAACTCAAGTTATTTGTTCATTACATCAACTTGAATTCGTGAACTACACTAACTTTAACTTATAGCTTCTTTTGCAAGACATCATGATGGAACTGAAAACATGAAAACTTTTGTAAAATAAGAACAAAAAATTATGAAAAGAGTCGCCTCCATAGTATACTAAAAAACCTACGGAAAACCAAAATTGAGTTCAAATTATTTATGTGGGAGAAAGGTCGCACTCCACAACATCCATCAAAAAAACTTCCTTTTAATTAAGTGCCTAGAATTATTGTGATGTTTTAAAATATTTTTTTTTCTCAAAAATGATCAAATAAAACATATATAAAATGATAAAAAAATTAAAATTATTTTAGCTCAAGAATGATTAACTTTGGCCATACATATTCTCAAAAAAGAAAAATCAGATAGTTCTCTTTAAAAAAGATTAATGGAAGAAATATTGATCTTATTAATATTCTTTTATTTTAAAATAATATAAAGGAATATGACACTTAATATGATGAAAAAATTATAGTTATTAATTTGAAAATTATAATTATCAATTAAGTTGGAAACTTAACATGATAAAAAAATTTAATTATCAAACAAATCTAAAATTTAACATGATAATTATTAATTTTATAAAATTATCAAGACTTAACATAAAATTTATAAAAATAAAAATTTTAATTATTAAAAAATTCAAGATTTCACATGATAACTAATAATTTTGAAAATATAATTATCAAGTAAGTTTAAAACTTAATATTATAAAAAATTTATTAAAAATGAAAATTTTAATTATCAAGTTTGAGACTTAATTCTTTCAAATTTTATTATAAAACTTTGTATTTTGTGAATTTACAACCATTAAAATATAGAAATGCAAGGTGTAAATTATGTAAACATGAAAAAGAATAAAAAAAAATAACTGAAATGGGTCAAGTCCAGGCCAATAAATGTTGGCAGATGAGAACATAACAAAAAAAGAGGGAAAAAGAGAGCAAGCCCAGCCCATTTATCTAGTTTCTGATTTGTAATTTTCCTATTATTACTATTATATTTTTTTATATATTTATTATTATTATTACTTAAATGAAAAATGATATTTTAGATTCATTTGACAAAATTATAAAAATTTATTTTTTTAATATCATTTTATCATTATTAGATTTCTTAAATGAATATCAATGTGGGTCATTCTATAATTGCTATACTTAAATTACTTTTTTTTTTTTCTGAAAATATCCATTCTTAAAAGACCTAAAACCTCTTCCAAACCCTTCTTCTGCTACCAATGCAAACCTAACCTCATCACCGTCACCTTGCTGGCGTTCCGCCCGGCCTCTGAACTACCCAGCTCCAAGCTCACTGATTCTTACTATCACATGTGACCGCTACCTGCGTCGCACCACTTCCACGCATCAAAACCGCCAACCGCGGCGTCGCAAATGACTACTCATCGCGATATTTATATACATAACATTTATTTACAAATTACATTATTTAAATACAGAGTTGAACAAAATTGTTTAATTTTTAAAATAATTTAAAACTCAATTAAAATAACTAAATTGAAACTAATATAATAAAATTTAATACGTTATCATAGTCACATTACACTTCGTTACCACAGGTACAACGTAATACGTTGACACCTTCTAATGATTTAAAAAGTAAAAATAAAAATAAAAATAATTAAAAAAAACATTTTAAAAAAATAGGAATGAGAAAAAAAAAATTGAGGCCGCGACTTCCAAACAAAACGAGAATCGCTGGAATGATCAAATAATGAAGAGACCTAAGGTTTAAATTTCCTAACATTACCAATTAGCTAGCAATGTAGGTCTGTGCGTTTCTTTTCTCTAACGTTCTTGACTAGTTTGAGCTGAGTACGGATTGGATTAAATGGCCAAGTATGCGGTTGAGTTGGCTTGTGAGATAATTGATAGTGCTTCTACATAGTTTGGCGTTTCTCAAGCTATTATCATTTGTTAGCGAAAGTTGTTGGATGAATGAAATCTTGTTCGATTTCACCTCATAGAATTATGGTTTTGGCTCAAGATATGACATACATCGTTTTTAACCATACCATCGGTAGTTGATGTGGAAATCTGTACATTCCTTAAATTAAGCCATTTTGTGGCGGATAATGGTCTAAGGGTGACTTGATAAACTTACCAAAAAAATTGTTAAATAGTTTTTTGAAACTATTTTAGAAATCTGGGTTTTTGCTAACCTGACACCAATACCTTTTTCTAGTCTATCACTTCACTTGTGAAAGTGGGATTTTCCAGCATTAACATTTTTTTGCATGCATCTGGAGGCCAATCTCTGAGTGAATACGATTGGTCGACATAATGTCAAAGATTGTTGCGACTTTTTTTCACTGAGTAGTGTTGTTTGAAACTACTTGTGGTTCTTGTTTCGCAGGAAAGCTCCGCCGTTGGTTGTGGCCGTGGTGGATTTCAGGGATGTTTTCCTGATTCAGTGGTTGCATATAATTTGGCAGTAATACGTGTGGACCGGATGGTCTATGTATGGTGTGACTGTGCAGTTAACAAAAGATCAGTTGGGATTTCCCTCCAGACATAAACCTTTTAAATTCTACTTACATTACTATCCCTTACCCTAATCAAACCAAGACTTACTTGGTTAATGGAGTAGCCACCGATGGCTATTTTTCTCTGGATTACACTAGGAAGCAGCTAAGCAGTGTCTTCTGTGAGTTTAATTTATTTAAAACACGTAGTTTTGTTGTTAATAGTTACAGATTTTTGGTATTTGATGGACTAAATGATTCTTTTCTGCAGTGAATGTGTGTTGCTGTACAGTTCTTAGTTTATATAGTTGCTGACTGTTTGTTGTTTCTGGACAGTAACTCAGGGAGTGTACTCTCGAACCAACGGTTTGATGGCAATGGTTTTACAATTCTTACTGTCGATGATTTGCTTACATCGAAACAAAAACCAAAAGGAATATGGTTGAATATTCAGGTGAATGGAATGAAATGCATAATCCATTCTCATATTTAGTCTCCTTGTTTGTTTTAAACTAACTCTTTGATATCTCTTTATGTTAAAGCACGATGCATCTACGCAGAGCACAAGTTGAGTATGAGAAGCTTTGTGATTTCAGCTTCTAAAAGAATAGTTTTCAGTCATATCTCATCACCCGAGGTTAATTTTCTGAGAGGTATATCATCACGCTTCAACCCGAAGAGAACAAAACTGGTCTTCCGGTTCATGGCAAAGAATGACGTAGAACCATCGACCAATCAGACTTATGAATCTCTTTTAACGAATCTTACATTTATCAAGACATTTGCTTCTGGAATTCTTGTTCCGAGGGGATACATATGGCCAGTAGATGCAAGCCTTTATCTACAACCACATACATCTTTGGTCTCGGATGCACATAAAGCGGGGCTGGAAGTTTTTGGATCAGATTTTGTGAATGATGTTCCATTTAGCTTCAATTACAGTTATGATCCACTTGCTGAGTACCTCCAGTTCATAGACAACGGTGACTTCTCTGTTGATGGCGTGCTGTCTGATTTCCCCATTACTGCATTTGAAGCAATAGGTAAGTTTGTTTATTTTTCTCCCATGATGTCGGAATAGCCTGTCACAAATAGCGTGTATTTTGTCTGAACAAAATCCTGTTTACGTAGGGTGTTTCTTGGATAGAAGAGATTAGAGGAGAGCCAAAAAAAAGTATTTCTTTTATGTAAACAGTCGAGAATTTCTTAAAGTAACATAACTCGAAGAATAAAATCGGAGATTATTATGTAAATTACCAATCATCATCGCTTGTTTTAACAATTCTTATTTTCTCTTTTAAGTATATATTGGATTGTCTTCTTGTAATGCAGGTTGTTTTTCTCAGTTAGGCACCAATGCCACGAAACAAGGTACACGTAGTTACAATTTTGAAATATGTGTGTGTGATTTTTTATCATCTGATGGAATCAAAGCTTGCATCATTGTTGATTTGTTTCTTTAATTTTCTTCTTGTGTTTCAGATAAAACCTTGATTATCTCAAAATATGGAGCAAGTGGGGATTATCCTGCTTGTACCGATTTAGCATATAATAAGGCCATAGAGTACGGTGTGGATGTTCTTGACTGTCCGGTTCAAATATCAAAAGATGGAACACCATTTTGCTTAAACTCCATTGATCTTATAGAGAGTACGACAGTTGCCCAATCAAGCTTCAGCAAATTTGCCATGACTATCCCTCAGATCAAACCCACCAGTGGCATATTTGCATTCAACCTCACGTGGAGTGATATAAAAACTTTGACCCGTAAGTCACAGAAATTTCCGTAGCTGTTCGCTATTCAATTAGGTCAAATGTTCTTCTATATTTCTGTATTTTCATTGAGTTAATCCAGCCTCGTCAAACCTTATTTGACTACATTTTCAATCAGCCAAAATTTAGGAGATATTTGCAAATTGGTACAAATCGTGTTTTGAGGAAATTAGCTTTATGAAAGACAATCATGTGTCACTGATAAACTACCACGGCAAATTTCTCCCCTTCATAGTGATGCCTTTCACTTGGCTGCCTCCAGAACCTGTTACAACAAATATTTGACATTTTTCTCTTTATTTTCCCTGCAGCCTCAATATTGAATCCTTTTTCAAAGTACAGGTTGTTCAGGAATCCAGAATCTAAGAATTCAGGGTACTTGGTGGCGTTATCAGATTTCTTGTCCTTGACAAAAAGTCACCCTTCTCTATCTGGTGTCTCTATCGCTGTTGAGGTGCATTCTTTCATACCTGTTAACGCTGTTTAATCTTTTTTGTAATAATAAAGCAAGTTTTTGTGAAGAATATTGCTTTTTCTTATTGTGATGATAAACATAAATAATTTTTGTATGTTTCCAGCGTGTAAATGGTTTTTTGTCCTTTTCATCTTCAATTTACCAACATCGATATTGTGTTGCTGTTCATGTTATCAGAATGCAGCCTATCTTGCTGAGAAGCAAGGATTAAATGTGATTGATGCAGTAATCAATGCTTTGAGCGAGGCAGGTTATGATAATCCCGGATCCCAAAAGGTTTATATCCAATCCACTGATAGCTCTGTACTGCTAAAGTTCAAAGAGAAAACCAGTTATGAGCTTGTGTACAAGATTGACGAGACTGTCGGTGATGCTGATAGTGCAGCTGTTGAGGATATAAAGAAATTTGCTAGTGCTGTGATTGTCAACAAGAACTCTGTATTTTCTAATAATGATCAATTCCTGACAAGCACTACGAAAACTGTGGCGAAGCTAAACGCTGCCAACCTCTCAGTTTTTGTAGAGACATTCAGCAATGAGTTTGTTTCTCAAGCGTGGGATTTCTTCTCAGATGCAACTGTTGAGATAAACTCATATCTAAATGCTGAGGGCCTAAAAATTGATGGTATCATCACGGACTTCCCTAAAACTGCCAACAGATACAGAAGTAAGTGCCAGCAATTTCTGCCGTACCATGTTGTTGTCTTTTATGACCCTCTTCATTACTGAAACATTTTTTCTTCATTTTACTGCAGGGAACAAATGCTTAAATTTGGGTGACAAGAGACCTACTTACATGGACTCTGCTACACCAGGTGCTTTTTTTTCTCTCATTACCTTAGATTTCTTGCCTCCAGCTCAAGCTCCACTCCCACCCTTGACAGAATCTGAAGTTGCAGAGCCACCTTTGCCTCCTGTTGCTAAAATAGCCCCAGCTTCCAGCCCCAGTTCTGGAACCCCAGCACCACAAAGAAATGCACAGCCTAAGGTTGCTGTCTGCTTCTTCTTTTCCTCTCTGGCTGTGTTCACAGCTTCCCTTCTTGTGCTTTGAGCAAAATCATCTCTAAACTTCCTTCTAAGAAAACGGTTCCTTTTGCTGGTTTCAACCCCTTATTGCAAATCCCTTTTAGGATTGAGTGGCATGAAAGCTTTTGGCTTCAGATTGAGTACATGAACAATCCACACTTTTTGTGCTTCTTAAAAGGAGCAAATTCTTTCGATCTAATTTGTTGTAGCTATGATTGTCAGTTCTTAGCTCCCCAATAGCTTCGAGGGGTTATGCTGTGGCCATAAGTTAGCGTGTTATATATGCATGAATTCTTTTCAGACGTGTATTTTGTATCTCTTGTTGTAAGATATATTTTCTGAGAATTATCCACAATAAACTGCTATTTCTCTCCTGATCATACAATTTACAGAAATCACAGCATTGTCGAATACAAAACATATGGGCGTCTTTGAATGCTGTTCTCTTTGATTGAAGGCTAATGAGTGTTGGAAGTGCAGAAAGTGGAAAATGAGCAAAACGCACTCTCAGAAGAATAAAATAATCATGATGTACTATGATCCAATGCAACCGAAACCACCCACTTGAGTTACCTTAACTAAGGATTTGTTTAACTTACATAATATCTTAAATTCGAATTTTGTTGTTACCATAGAGAAAAAGAGACAATAACATGAATACTTCTAACGTAAAAAGAGGGATTTGTTTATTAATTTATAGGAATTAAGCTAAGAATACATGCATCTAATGAATGCATTTAATTTAAAATAAAATTATGTACTATTTTATAAGTATATTTAAGAACATTTGTTTGATAAATTTAACAATATTTTTATTTCAATAATAATTAGTAGAATTTAAATATAAATTTATCAATTTATTAGAGAACAAAACTTGTAACATTTAATAAAGATTTCAAACATAACAAAAGAAACATAAAGTCTAGTGAAATTGTAAAAATATTGAATTAATTCTAATAAAATCCACACTAATTTTATTTTATAATTACAAAATATATATTTATTTATGTGTACATATTTAATATATATATTATATATACTAATTATTGAGAAAATATTGATAGAATTTAAGTATAAATTTAAGTCATACATTAAAAAAAGAAAAACATAAATAACATATAATAAAAAATCCACGAATTTGTTATTTATAAATTTATTATTTTAAACTTTCAATTTGAGATGTTTTATTTTATTTTGATTCAGATCTAAATGAATTTTTCGCACAACATAATTAAATATTTTATATATTTCAAAAATATATTTAGCCCATCAAGAAAAATTAAATATATTTAATCAAAAATTCGGTTTCTTATATTCTACACAATTTGTCTATATAAACAAGTAGTTAACTTTATTGAAACCTTTTACAAAAGTTTATGTTAATCTGATTTAAATGTTTGTATATAATTATTTGATAAATTAATAATACTGACAAATTAAAGTTAAATGCATTTTTTCTTGTATTTTCAAAATAAATATTTTTTCTAAAAAAAGCTCATAAATGGATCATAGGGTTTTGTGGATATTTTGACATGTAAAATTTTTCAAATGTTTTGATCTTCGAGTTTTTCTCACCACAACTTAAATAAATCAAAACTAAAAATGTCTAGTTAGATTTAAGCCCCAAATATAGTTTTTCTAAGCACAAACATGTCCCATCCTAGGATTCATTCAACTCATCATTTATGGTGATCCTATTTTGAAGATAGAGATATTTGTTATCTTCTATATTATTGACTTAGCTATTTGTATTCGTTTGTTTGTTATATATGCTCCTAGACTTATAAAACAAACTCTTGTACATTAGTTTTCAAATGAAGCAAGACAAAACTGTCACAAAGAATGAGAGATGAAAAAACAAACCAACTTACCAATGTTTTTGACTCCATTGTGTTTGCAACTCAAGTTTTCACACTCTGAAAAGAAAAATTACATCAAAGAGGAAGCAGCCAAAATATCTATAACCAAGTTAAAAACATGAGACGCGGTTTTCGTGACTAAATCAAACCTTCATTATCCCATCTTCTACACTTCAACAGCCCATCCTTAACTCTATCAAACATTATCTATTCCGATCCTTTCATAACAACATCAAAATTGTCAGATTTTGGAACCATTCTGCGTAACTTAAATTAATTTTAGTCATTATGCACAACGTCATTTTCCATTGGCTTGCATTAAAACCATTATTGCGACGAAAATTCCACCGTCTCCCATACTCACAAAATTAAAAAGAAAAATTGCTGGTCATTAATTTAAATAAAAACATTTTACGAACAATACCAATATACATATATTTTCATACTTTAAACCTCTCATGGGTCAACTTTAAGCACCAAAAAGGTTTAACCTAACCAACCCCTTTTTCCCAAATAAAAAGTTTATTATTTCCAATCATATATATATATATATATTGAAACCACTTGGACAAGGGGGGTGACAATACATTTCAAAAGTGATGCCAGATATACTTTGTCTATAGTTTAAGGAATATATTTAAAGAAGCTTTCTTTTTTCATGGCCATTGGTTTAAGAATAAGGAGGGACCCTGCCAGCTCAGATAATGAAAAATACACATATAAGTCATAACTCTTGCATTATCTTTTACATTCAAGCATTGAAAAAGAAAATTTTTTAGAGAGAAAAGTATGAAGATAGTTAAGTAGAAAATGGTGTTTTGAAATGGTCTTGGTCTCTGAAAAACGGTTTTGAAACTCCAAATGTCACACAGCAGGACAATGATTTGTATTAAGAAGAGATAGTGATAAGTTAATCTATGGGAAAAGTGGGACAGCAGCATCATCGGAATTGAAATTGATGGCCACAATACTCGCTGTCATACACATTAGTTTATCAGAAACTTCTGTTCTGTTTTTGTTTTTAGGTCTTAATGCTATATGTGATGTTTCAAAATCCAAATTGTTGTTTTATGTCTGAAATGAATACAGCGGTCATATCTCTCTGTAGTATATAAAGAACAAGTCTTCGTCTCTCTGTCTTTAAAGGAAAAGTCTTCGTCTTTTAGCATTCATGTTGCTTAGCCCAATCACTTTTTTTATAAAATTTTGTAATACAAAAATAATAGTTTTATAGGTTATTTTTGTATTTTTATTTTCATAACTATTATTTGTTGTAGTAATTGGATATTTCTTAAATATACGTTTTACTTGTAAAAGTTACTCATAGAAATATTTATTATTTATTAAATCCATCGTCTTACTTATTATTATACGAGAATGAAATATTTATTAATATTTAATCACGTTTATATCAACATAAAAAAATATATTAAAAATTTTACATGGACTAAAAGTGAAACAAATTTATAATATACAAATAAATATAAATATTATTTGATTAATCAATTTTATAAAACTAAATTAGACTTAAAATTAATTTATTACTTTTAACGCTACAATTATCATAAATTACATAAGGTATATTACACTTTTTCCGTCACAAGTAGATTTAGACGGTGATAAACTTCATCGTCTTAATTAATTAATTAATTAATAATAATAATAATAGAAATAGTGGTTAGAACTGTGTTAATCACAATTATAAACAGAGTAGCTAACATTATAATCATAAGTAGAATTTTACTAATAATTTTAGAATTAAAATAATATAATCAAATTAATTATAATTTCAATGTCTAACATTGACGCAAAGTTAAA